TGCGGGGGGCTGTTTTGAGAGTGCGACGTTGATGGAGTGATTGTCATCTTTCCCTCTTTTGACCCCCCTCCTCTAACAAACGCATCGTTTCCTAATTAAACTGCACCCAGAGAAAGTCGTTTTCCTGAAACTATTGCCCTGGTTACACCGCCCCTCCCCCATCCTTTAACTTACACGGTTTTTTTTTTTTTTTGGTTCCTCAGATAAATTCAGTATCTGAAAAATGACAGTGAAATTATTTCCTTTACTCTGCGGACTGCTTTTAGGATTGAATGTAGTTTTGTATTCAATCGTAAGCAAATACAGAAGTAATCTAGGTGTTTAGGAATAAAGTTTGACTAATCTGCATTCTCATCCGCATACATTTGTAATACAAGGGTTGGTTGGTTTGTTTGTCTTTTGGATTCGCAACACTTGCTTCTTAGAAAAAGGTACTTACCTTAAAAAGGTGGTTCGTTTTGTGCACATGGGGTTCAAGTCTCGGCTCTACCATTTCTTAGCTGTACAAGTTACCTGTGCAAGTCACTTAACCTCTGTGCCTACAGTTCCTTTTTCTTTGTCAATTGGGATAGTTGCTAGCTGGGTAAATACATGGATGATTTGCATCAGTTGGCGGTTAACATCACTCAGGTCACAGGTTCGGAAACTAAGTGGACAACGAGAGGGCTTTAAATTGGTTGACAGTCATTTTCTGTCCTGGCAAGCATTTAAGGAGAAAAATGGATAAGTTGATATTTTTGGGGTAAGTTAGTAATGATTGACTTTGAATTTTATATAGGCAAGTTTTTGCCAATGTCATAGAGAAATTGGTTTGAAGGTCGAAATAGTCCGGGTTTAGACAGTGTGTATCTTTAACATTTTTTTTTCTCTATTTTGCGACTTTCTTGAAAACGTGTTTTCATCTTGAAAATTGATGTTCACTGAAGGTCAATGTCTTGATTTTTAGAGCATCTGTCTTCTAGCTTAATGTTTAGCAACCGTTAGGTTGTTAGACTATGTATCCAGGAACTTCAAACTTAGGCAAATTAGCATGCATTTGATATTTTAAAATCATTTGATATTCTAAAATAAATAGTTTTGCACTTTTCTTTCTTTCTTTTGGTTTTTCGAGACCGGGTTTCCCTGTATTGCTTTAGAGGTGGTCCTGGAACTTGCTTTGTAGACCAGGCTGGCCTCGAACTCACAGAGATCCGCCTGCCTCTGCCTCCTGAGTGCTGGGATCAAAGGGAATGCCCAGCTGCACTTTTTTTTTTTTTTTTTTACTTTTTAAAAGAACAACTTTTCTCTGTTTCTGCTTACCCTGAGCGCTCCCCACCTCCCCGTGTGTGTGTGTGTGGGGGGGGGTGAGGTGTGTGTGTGTGTGTGTGTACTGGGCATTGAAACCAAGGCTAGATCTCCCATTGAGTTCCACCTCCAGCTTGGTGGTGTTAATTTACTTGCTCATTTGACTCCTCCTTGCTGAGAATTTTGAGTGCCAGAGCATTTTGGGAGGACTTTTACCTATCCTTAAGTTTCTTCTTGAAGTTATTTTTTTAAGAACAAATGAGCATAATAAATTTAGCTTATGAAAAACTGACTGCACCTGGGGGGTGGGACACCAGGAGCACAAGTTCTAGGGCTGCCTGGGCTACCTAGTTAAGACCATGGGTCAATAAACAAAATAAAATCAGATTCTGATAGTTGCCTTTAAAATGTTTTAAGAACAGATGAAGTTAACTAGTTTTTAGAATTCTAACTTATGAATAATCAAGACTAAAACTGAACAGGAAAAATGCAATGAATTTTTATTATATAGCGAAATTATGAGCGTTATATCTACATATTTTCAGATTTCCAAGTTTTTCCTGAAAATGTATTACCTATCTTAGAGATCACTAATAGAACTCTTCCTGAGTTCCTGTTTTGGTTTTATTTTGCAAGTGAACTTTATATTTATATATATTATTTTTACATATTTTAGATGGAATGAAAGAATCACATTTAATAAATTACACTTCACTTACTACTTAATAAATTAAAATAGTATATTAATTGTTTGATTTTCCAGTAAGGAAAATAGTGGCTTATATAGCTGCATTCCCAAAGGTCGATTCTTTTAACAATTAAGATTCTATTATTTACTAAGTGATATTAAATAACTTTGATTTATTAGAAAATTACCAATCATGAGTAATTCTTAAAATAGACAGTTTACTCTTAAAATAGACAATTTACTCTTATATATGACTGTCAGCTATATGACAGTAAAAGCTTACTGTCTGCTATATGAATTGTGTATAGAGCTTAGTGATAGAAGAAAATCCACAGTTTATCACCCTCCTTTTTTGGAGGGAAATATGAATCAAAATTTCTTGGCAGTAGCTGCTAGGGTTATGGGAGAAAGGAGTGGAACAGTTCTTTTAAGGAAAAATAAAACAAAAGACTCCCTGGACTAATTGCCTCTAATTACCTCCTCCCTTGGCCTATGTTATCTGCATAAGAAATGCTTCAGTAGAATAGGTACTTAACCCATACTTAATTTTCTCTGAAAGAGAGGGGAAGGCAACTTTTACTAAGATCCTATTAACTCTTAACCTTCAAATATAGAGTTGATTGCAGAATTTGAAGCTTAAACAAGTTAACTTTTCTTAGATTCTAAAGGACGGACAAGCGGGGATTTGAATTTAGACTTCAGTGTCTACTGAAAGGTAAACAATCAAACACATAATTTAAATTGTGTAGAGTGGTGGAAAGTTAGTAACTGGCAGGGAACAAAAATCCTGAACTTACTCAAGGAAGCACAGATACAAAGTTTAAAAAGACTCAGGTGTGTTATGGTTGCCCAAGCTTTTATTCTTGCACTGGGAGGCAGAGGCAGATGGATCTCTGAGTTAGAGGCCAGCCTGGTCTGCATCATGAGTTCCAAGACAGCCAGGGCTATGTAGAGATACTCTGTTTCAAAAACAAAAACAAACAAACAAAAAAACAAACAAAAGAACCCAAACCCAATAAAAACCACCTAAAAAATGTAAAAAGGATGCTTTATTATGCCATAGTAGGAAAACTTATTTCAAGAAACGTTGTTGTCTCCCTTGACTTGTTAGGTGTAGGAAACATTCAGTCAGTTCTTAAAACCTACAATAATTTGACTTTGGTCATAATTTGTAAAGTAAACAAGTTAAATACTTCATTCTTAGTTTTAGTACCAGAATGATTATAAGGAGATCCATATCTGGACATCTGATAGGTAAAGTAGACTGT